CAAAGATCCCCAAAGATATTCAACACAAAGATCCCAAGACATTATCAAGCTCTCACACATCAAAGACAAAAAGAGAATTTTGCAAGCAGAAAGAAAAAATATTCATCACAAAAAGGGAATCTTGATAAAATTACAAGCAGATTTCTCAGCAGAAACCTTACAGGCCTGGAGAGACAGGAATAATAAATATTCAAAGTGTTCAAAACAAATAATTGTTAACCAAGAATTCTCTATCCAGGTAAATTGTCATTCAGAAATGAAGGCAGCATAAAGACTTTGGAGACAAACAAAAGCTGAGGATATTTATAAAAATGAGACCTGCCCTATATTAACAATAATTCTATAAGCTGAAAAAAGGGACACAAATTAGTAACACGAAAATATAAAATTCACTGGTTGACTATATAATCAAATTCAAAACTCTCTATTTTGAGAGATAAAGTTGGGATATTTATGTCAAGGAACTAGAAAGAGACAAACAATGAATCCAAAATTAGTAGAAAGAAGAAAAGAACGAAGATCAGAAAAGAAATATATAGAATAGAGACTAATTAGACAACCAAAAAAGAATAATGAAATTTAAGAGCTAGATTTTAAAAATATAATTGATAAACCTTTAGCTAGGTTCACCTAGTAAGAAGATTTATAATAATAAAATCAGAAATGAAAGAGCATACAATATAATTGACACCACAAAAATCATGAGAGTACCATGAATAATTACATACTAACAAAACTGACAATCTAGAAGAATCAAACAAATCTTAGAAACACACAAATTACCAGAATTGAAACATGAAGAAATAGGAAATAAGAACAGATATGCTAGTAAGAAGACTGAATCAGTTATCAAATACCTTCCAACCAACAAGTGTCCAGGAACAGATGGCTGCAGTGGCATATTCTGCCAAACATTTAAAGAAATATTAATACCAATCCTTCTCAAACTCTTCCAAAAAAAGAGAAGAGGAAAGAACACTTCCAAATTCATATTATGAGGGCACCATTATCCTGATACCAAAACCATACAAGGATACCATAAGAAAAAAAAAATTACAGGACAATATCCCAATGAACATAGTTGCAAAAAAACTCAATAAAATATTAACCATACAAATTTAACAATGCATTATTTTAAAAAATCACACATCATGGTCAAGTGTGATTTATTTCAGAAGTGCAAAGATAATTCAAAATCTACAAATCAACCCATGTGATACAGCACATTAACAAAATGAAGTCTAAAAATCATCCTCTTACTAGAAGCAGAAAAAGAATTTGACAAAATTCCACATTCATTTATGATAAAAACTGCCAACAAAGTGGGCATAGTGGGAATGTACCACAAAATAACAAAGGCCATACATAAAAAGCCCAAAACTATCATTACACTCTGGGGTGAAGAGCAGAAAGCACTTCAAAACTTTAAGATCAGGAACAAGATAAGGGTATCCACCCTTGCCAGTTTTATTCAATATAATATTGGAAGTCCTATACACAACAGTTAAGAAAAAGGAGCCAAAACCGGTTTGGCTCAGTGGATAGAGTGTTGGCCTGCGGACTGAAAGCTCCCAGGTTCAATTCCGGTCAAGGGCATGTACCTTGATTGTACATCCCCAGTGGGGAGTGTGCAGAAGGCAGCTGATCAATGTTTCTCTCTCATCAATGTTTCTAGCTCTCTATCCTTCCCCCTTCCTCTCTGTAAAAAATCGATACATTTTTTAAAAAAAGAAAAAGGAAAAAAAGGCAATAAAAGGCACCAAATCAGAAAGAAAAAGCAAAACTGTCCTAATTTGCAAAATGACATCTATATATATAAAAACCAAGTGACCAGAACAATGGAACGGCCATAACAACCAGTTACTATGATGTGCACTACAGCAGCCAACCGACCCTACTGTGGCAACAATCACTGTCCCCCAACCTCCTATGGCCACTCCTTCCAACGGGCCCATCCCCTGATCAGTCTCCCCACCCTGATCGGAAGTTCTCCCAGCATAGACACAACTGATCCTCACAGCCAATTGGCCTGGATGTCAATTCCCCCCAGTGATACTAACAACAATCAAGGCTTAACCTCAACAAGACTGTGCAGAGAATCCCAAGAATCAAGTAAAAGATTTGAAATACAAACAAGCAAAAAACACCCATCCAGAAAAGAAAAAATAATCCAAAAATATGAAGATAGTTATAAGGACCCTCTGGGACAACCTCAAGTGTACCAACATCCAAATTATGGGGGTGCCAGAAGAAAAGAGAGAGCAAAATATTGAAACCTATCTGAGGAAATAATGACAGAAAACTTCCCCTACCTGATGAAAAGAAATAGACTTACAAGTCCAGGAAGCTCAGAGAATCCCAAACAAAAGGAATCCAAAGAGGGCCATACCAAGACACATCATAATTAAAATGCCAAGGGCAAAGACAAAGAAAGAATATTAAAAGCAGCAAGAGAAAAACAGCTAGTTACCTACAAGGGAGTACCCATACAGCTGTCAGCTGATTTCTCAACAGAAAGGATGCAGGCCAGAAGGGAGTGGCAAGAAATATTCAAAGTGATGAATAGCAAGTACCTACAACCAAGATTACTCTACCCATCAAAGCTATCATTCAGAATTGAAGGTCAGATAAAGATCTTCACAGATAAGAAAAAGCTAAAGGAGTTCATCACTGCCAAACCAGTATTATATGAAATGCCGAAGGGTATTCTTTAAGAAAAGGAGGAAGAAAAAGGTAAAGATAAAAATTATGAATAACAAAGTGACAACAAATACATATTTATCAAGTGAATCTAAAAATCAAGTGAATAAAAAATCTGAGGAACAGAATAAACTGCTGAATATAATAGAATTAGGGGCACAGAAAGGGAATGGACTGACAATTCTCAGGGGGGAAGCTGTGTGCTGGACAAAAATACTGGACAAAAATCTTACACCTATGAGGATGAGGACAATGCGGGGAGGGGGGAACAAGGGTGGAGGTTTGAACTTAGTGGAGGGGAGCTATGAGGGAAAAAGAGGATTAACTATAATAATCTGAATAATAATAAAGATTTTAAAAAATGGATTACTCAGACACATTATTCAGGCAGGAGGAATTAGAAAATCTTGCTATTTGTAACATGAATGGAATTGGAGGGCTTTATAATTGAAAGAAGTTGGATAAAGACAAATCTTGTACTTATATCTATATAGAATTCTGAAAGAGCTGAATTTGTAAAAATAGTAGAATGGTGATTACCAGGGCCTGAGGAAGAAGGGAGTGCTATTTGAAAGTAGATACTTGCAACTAATCCTATCCAATAAAAGAGTAATTTGCAAATTCACCATACCGCTGCTACACACATAAGCCACACCCACCAGCCAATTAGGAGCGAGTATGCAAATTAACCCAGCCAAGATGGCTGTGGCCACAGAGAAAGCAAGAGGATTGGGTTTCCCTGGCAATGGAGAAAACCAAGCTTCCCACACACCCTGGCTGGCCATGAACTCCACTCAAGGCTACAAAGTTTCAATTATAGAAGATAAATAAATCCCAACAAAAACAGCTAGGGCCATGGAGCAAGCAGAAGGCTTGGGTTTCCCTGGTGATGGAGGAAGCCAAACTTCATGGCCTGCAAGCCTTCGCTCAAGGCTACAAAGTTTCAATTATAGAAGATAAATAAATCCCAGATACTAGGGCCTCAGCTTGGGTCGCTGGGGGGTGTGGCCGACCTGCAAACCACCACAGGCCCCTAGCCCTGGCCGCCCCACACCCCAAGGGAACCCCGACCCTGATCTGGGAGACCCTTCAGGGCACTAGGCCTCTATCTTATCTAATAAAAGAATAATATGTAGATTGACCATCACTCCAAAACACAAGATGGCCAACACAAAATGACAGCAGGGGAGGGACCAGGTCTGCAAGGGAGGGCAGTTGTGGGTGATCAAGCCTGCAGGGGAGGGCAGTTAGGGGTGACCAGGCCGGTAGAGGAGGGAAGTTGGGGGCGACTGGGCTTACAGGGAAGGGCAGTTGGGGGGACCCAGGCCTGCAGGGGAGAGCAGTTGGGGGGCACCCAGGCCTAAAGGGGAGGGTAATTATGGGTGACCAGGCCTGCAGAGAGGGCAGTTAGGGGCAATCAGGCTGGCAGGGAAGTGGTTAGGGAGTGATTAGGCTGGCAGGCAGAAGCAGTTAGGTGCAATCAGGAAGGCAGGCAGCCAAGCAGTTGGGAGCCAGCAGTCCTGGATTGTGAGAGGGATGTCCAACTGCCCAATTAGGCCCTATCATACTGGATTGGGCAGTTGGACATCCCTCGAGGGTCCCAGATTGGAGAGGTTACAGGCCGGGCCTAGGGACACTCCCTCACCCATGAACAAATTACGTGCACTGGGCCTCTAGTAGAGAAATATGTTCTGGAGAACTAATACACAGCATAGATATTATGGTTAACAATACAGTTTTATAAATTTCAAAAGTTGCTAAGAGAATAGAACTTAATTGTTCTCACTATAAAAAAGAAATACTATTATGTGATATTATAGTGATGTTAGCTAATACTACTATAGCAATGATTTTGCAGTATAGAAATATGTAAGAGCAACACGTTGTATAACTTGCACTTTCAGACTGTTACATGTCAATTATATCTTATTAATACTTAAAAATATTCTGGAAGAGCTGTTTAATAAATAAATGGAAAAGCATGAGCATCACTTAACTTTTCAAAGAGCTTTTTCAGAAAGTGGTATCCCCATTTGACACTGAGTATAAGAAATGAAGATTCAAGTAATCATAATTCAATACCCTGAGAAACATGCAAACCTCATACCATGTCAGACCTTGATGAGCACGTAGGTATCCCCTTTGTTTCCATTTTCACATTTTACATTTAAAATGTTGAAGAAATGCAACCCAACAACTCTTGTGACTAAAACTCAGGTAAATATCAACCTATTTCAAGTATATAGAGATAAACACAAAGTCAACATATTTTTCAATAAAATAATAAAATCTTTTTTTACCTTCTGGATCATAGGTTTGAAAAACTCTTCTGGCTTGTTCTGAAGGAGCCTCAGGGGCAACCAAAGCCATATCCTGAAAAAGATAAAAAGCATGCTATTAACTCATTACAATACCATGACATTAAAAATAAAGAAAACAAATATTAAGATAGGATAAAGAAATGAAACTCTCTGGGCCTTAAAAATTGCAATAATTCTTCAACTATAGAGAACTGTTATAAGAATGACATGCAAAGCTTTATAAAAAACACTTAAAGTCTAATGTTATATAGGTAATTATTATAAAATGCAGGCTGCAAAAATTAATGACTTATACATTTGCTTTATATTATAGTCCAAACAAGAAGAAATATTACTTAAATATAATTTAAAAAATAGTCTAGTTTTCAAATATTTGAAAATTAAATCCAGAGGTATATGCTAGGAAACAATTAAATAGCAATGCATTTAAAATTTATTACTTTAGGGAGCATGCTATATATATCAAATCTAGCCATAGATCAACAATCTTAAATTCTGCATGTCCAGAATTTTAAATTTTCTTAACTCCAAGGGAATACTGGAAAGGCAAAATTATCTTTTCCCATACAATTTATTCTCTCTCATGACTAATTTCTTTACACAGTAACCCATAATATAATTTACTAGAATCCCAGTGCACAAAAGTAGGGTCCCTAGAGGCTGTCCCTAGAGGCTGGTCAGGGCCTCCAGCTGGGGCCTCCCTTCATTCCGTGCCACCCCCTGGTGGTCAGTGCTTGTCATAGCAAGTGATCAAACTCCCATTCTCCGGCTTGAACTTCCAAGGGGACACTGTGCATATTAGGCATAGATAGATAGATAGATAGATAGATAGATAGATAGATAGATAGATATAGATGATAAATAAACACAATATTCAGTGTTATCTTGAATTCTTCACAAACCTTTACTACACATATTTAAACTGTTAGGAAATTCTACTACTTAACTGACATAAATCCAGACTCTAGGCTCCAGAAGTTTTCCTGTATTCACAGCTTTAGTTTCAGGCTTTGTCTAATTGTGTTCAAGCCTCATCAGAGAGCAAGTTCTCAAGTATCCCTATTTACCATCTTGAATCTTTTTAAAGATGTTGTAGGTTACAAATAATAAATACAAATTAAAATGCTATTCCTCTGTAAGAATAAATTTTTATTAAAAGTGTAGTAATTAGCCGAAACTGGTTTGGTTCAGTGGATAGAGTGTCAGTCTGCGGACTGAAAGGTTCGATTCCGGTCAGGGGCATGTACGTTGGTTGCAGGCAGCTGGTCGATTCTCTCTCATCGACTTTTCTAGCTCTCTATCTCTCTCCCTTCCTCTCTGTAAAAAATCAACAAACAAACAAAAAAAAATATATATATATATATATATTTAAAAGTGTAGTAATTAACTTTTGTCCTAATCAGCCCACCTTTGCCTCAGAGATAAAGGAACAAACTGTAAGAATCTATTAGAGTAGTTCTCACCCAGGAGACTATGTGCCTAAGCACCCATAATAATTATGTTCAGCTTACATGGGATTATAAATTAAATGGAAATGGGGAACAAAACAAGGCAATCTATGCAAGCTCTTACACATTTTTTATGTATTAAAAGATAAAAGTATATTTTACAACATAATAAAATTTGGTCATGTGTATTTATTTCTCATTTGCCATCCCTTAATAGCAACTTTTAGGGTTTCCTTTTCCTGCATTTTCAATATTATTTTGTACAAAATAGCAAGTCAAGTGACATGTTTTCATTGAACTAACTTCCAATGTCTTTCTGATTTTATGATCCAGTCCTTTATTGCTGGATACTTGTACTGTGTCTAATCTTTTATTATAAACAATACTGCACCAAATAAACTTAAACATGTAATTTCATACACGTGCTTGCATCTGTAGGACAAAGCATCAGAGTAAGCTTGCTAGGTTAAAGGAAGAATTCATTTATAATTGTGGTAAATATTGCCAGATTCTTGAGTTATGTTTATTCATTTAACCTATTTTGAATAATATTTCTTTTTTAAAATATATATTTTATTGATTTTAGAGAGGAAAAGAGAGAAAGAAACATCAATGATGAGAGAGAATCACTGATCGGCTGCCTCGTGCATGCCCCTGACACAGCCCAGGGATGGGCCCTTTACTGGAATTGAACCCAGGGCCCTTTAGTCTGCAGGCTGATGCTCTATCTGCTGAGACAAACCAGCTAGGGCCAAACAATATTCCTTAAAACTCTTTCCTTTTTCTGATATATGAGGAACATAACCTTAACTCTATAATTAACTTTATAACAAAGCTAGTATTACAGCATCAGCTCTCAGCTTTAGGGAGCAATTAGTAATATTGGAATTATCGTTATTTTGGTGCACAAAATCTATGCACTGGGGAAGAGGAGGTATCCCTCAGCCCAGTATGCACCCTCTCCAATCTGGAACTCCTCAGGGGATGTCCAATTGCCATTTTAGGCCCAATCCATAAACCCACAATTGGAAATCCCCCTCACAATCCGGGACTGCTAGATCCCAACCGCTCACCTGCATGCCAGCCTGATCACCCCCTAACCATTCCCGTGCCACCCTGATTGTCACCTAACTGTTCCCCTGTCAGCCCGATCACCTCTGTCCTCCCCTGCTGGCCCAGTAACCCGCAATTGCCCTGCCCTGCCAAACCAGTAATCCCCAACTGTCCTCCCCTGCAGACCTGGTTCCCCCACCTGCCCTCCCCTGAAGGCCTGGTCCCCCCCCAAATGCCCTCCCCTGAAGGCCTGGTCTTCCCAAATGCCCTCCCTGCAGGCCTGATCCCCCCAAATGCCTTCCCCTGAAGGCCTGGTTGCCCCTAACTGCCCTCTCCTACAGGCCTGGTCCTCTCCTCAACTGCCCTCCCCTGTTGGCCTGATCACTCCAACTACCTTCCTCTGCCAGCCATCTTGTGGCAGCCATCTTGTGTGAAGTCATGAGGGTCAATTTGCATATTACCTCTATATTATATAGGATTATTTAGTATCTTTTATCTCTTCCCAACCTTAATTGCAAAATTTTCTACATTTATTCCACTATAAGCTTTAGGTCCCTTAACTATTTCCATTGCTACTTCTTTCTTTTTTCAATTTTTCTCTTGAAATGTCTGTTGTAATTTGTGGATGAACACTGTAACTGAAATTCTGGCTGTGGAGAAGGTATACAGCTGTGCATGAGATTTTATGCAAAAGGGAATATATAGGGATAAAAGATGAGCCTACAATCATTCATTCTTTTCATCATTTGTTGCATTTCAGCCTTCCTTTGTTACCAGTGAGTGATAAGGAAAAGACTGAAATGAGTTTTCAAACATCACTTTGAATTTTTAAAATATTACTTAATACTATTATCTCAATAGAGGGGAAAGGAATATTGTTTTTCTTGGCCAATAAAAGTGAAAAATCTTTTTGAGAAAAGATGTAGCAAAGAATATAATTGAAATATTATTCTTGTAGAGTGAAATTATAAGAAATTATTAATGTTTACAAAGTTAGGCAAATAAGGAAGATTCCAGTTTTAGCCACACAAAAAAGGTTTATATCAAATGTTCCAGCATTAAAGATTTCAGAAAATGCAGGACAAAAAAAAATTTAAGTCAACTACCTAATGCCTTGTCTCTAGGTTTCAAGTAGTACAAATTAAAAATACAATATGCTAATGTAGAAAGGAATTAAAGTAGACTTAATGAAAAGTTCACCACATATCTCTTGCTCTGTTTATGAATATATAAAAATCTTAGGCTTTAGCAAACATGCTAGTATTCTTATTTGAATAGACTATATATGGCCTGATACTTGAAACTTGGGCAAAACTGATGGACCATGGTTTAACAAATGCTCATTTAGAGCAGGGAGTGTGTGCACTTTTTTTCCCCCTGTAATTAGTGGCTTGATTTGGCCTGTGGTCCATGGTTTACTGACGCACAATTTAAACAATAAATTATATGTCTTCTCCAAATGCTCCAACAGTTATAATATTAAACATAACCTTCTTTTGGATACATCTGGGTATAAAAGATGTTTTAACAGGTTTTACAAAGAAGTATTTGGCTCTCATCTGAAGGAGAAAATTCTAACTAGAATGAATAGAATTGCAAAAGGCAGGGAGATTTGCATATAGCATAGCATGTGGAGGAACTGAAAGAGTTGAAGAGGACATTGAATTGAGTGATAAAAAGAGTAGTTAGGAAGAAAAATCAGCTTTAGTGAAAGAATGAATTTTATTTTGAACATTCAGAGTCTGGAGGTGATGGTTAAACATCCAAGTAGAGCACATAGGGGTATTTTTTTTTTTCCAATTACAGTTGACATTCAATGTTATTTTATATTAATTTCAGGTATATAGCTTAGTGGTTAGACATTTATAGAGTTATCTTAATGCCTGACATACAATGAAAATGTCATAATTTCCAGTTGTATGTTTCTAATAGGCTAGTAGAACTAGGATTTGTGCACTAGAAAAGATTAGGGTTGAGAGCCAACCAGTAAGATACTGAGATAGATGAAAGTAGATTATTTCAAAAACATGAGAACTGAGTATTTCCAAAAAATTTTTTAGAAAACTTATTGGTTGAAGTTTAGAAGTTTGAAATAAACCGGTATGTGAGGAAACACAGAAAAATCTATATGTGAACTATTTAAACAGAAATTCATTTTTTCCTCCCAAAGTACAAAGTATTGGTCAGATTCCACATCGTAAAACTACCCTATCTAATAAAAGAGTAATATGTAAATTGACCTTACCTCCACTACACCCACAAGCCATGCCTACCAGCCAATCAGGAGCCTGCAGGGAAGGGCAGATAGGGGTGACCAAGCTTGCAGGGGAGGACAGTTAGGGACAATCAGGCTGGCAGGGGAGCAGTTAGGCATCAATCAGGCTGGCAGGCAGAAGCAGTTAGGTGCAATCAGGAAGGAAGGCAGGCAGGTGAGCAGTTGGGAGCCAGCAGTCCTGGATTGTGAGAGGGATCCCAGATTGGATAGGGTGAAGGGTAGGCTAAGGGACAAGTTTTGTGCACTGGGCCTCTAGTCAACTATAACTGTCATTAC